CACCCATCATGATATGCTCAGAGTTCAAAGTGCAACAGAGAAGTTAAATGGCCCACACAAATTTCAAACAATGATAATGACTCACCATATTTATCAAGGAATAGGAAAATAAATGTATCAGTGATTGTGATAAGAACACCACCATACAGAGGAATCCTGTTAAATAAAAACAAACAGGATTTTCAAGATGATCATCATCACTTCACTGTGATTGTGTAGTCTGATTGTCCATGTGAGAGTAGTCCTGAGAAGGACTGTTTTTGGTAGTACTGATTGATGTTTCAACAATCTGAACAGACGTCATCATCAGAATCAAGTGAAGAGTTGCTGTTGGTCAAGAGTACTTTGTCCTGTTTGTGTAAACCGATTATTCAATTTACTTGAATCACTTCACTGTTCCAGAAATATCCAACCCACCCCATTGGGAGCCATGGAAAAATCTAGAGCAGAGGAAGCTATGAAAATGGTCTTCACCCTCAGAGAGGTTATGGGCTCAGAGCAAAAACCTTCAAAGGGAGGGATATAAATGTTTTTTTTTAAATCAGTAACATCACTGAGTAAACTGATAGAAATTAAAACACATACTTGAACAGGAACCTATGTTGGAATAACAGCAAGAAAGATTCTGGTCACCAAAAATGACACTTACTTTCCATTTGATAAAAGGTTAAATGCTATTGCAGTTCCAATAACTTCCTGCAATAATAATTAAAAAAAGACTCAGTTGTTTAAGCATAATGATTTATACTTGTACACTTTCATACATGAAGTTGTAATTTTTTTCATAGAAATGTGTGAAAGAGGAAATGACCCAAAGGGAAGCATATTGGAATTCAGACTAAAAAGTTTCAGCTCAAGATGTGTTTAAAGTCAATGATTTGTGCTCTGGGAGGAAGCAGAATTCTTTGCCTAGTACATCCTGCGGGATTGCTTAGTGTTGGGAAAGAAGGTTTACTTAAGGCAGACTACCATCCCATTTCAAGGAGCCACAATATGCCTGGCAACTTCATGCCAGGGGAAAGCTTGAGGATCTGAGAGACACAGGCTTGTGTGCAAACTTCACCTTACATGATAACACACTGAGGACTTACCTGCATGTCACTGCCAATGATTGCAATCTCAACCATAACCCAGAGAATGATACGGGGTATCTTGGGATACTTTTCATGACACACCTCTGCAAGATGCTTGCCTATAATAACAAATCCAGCATGGATAATTAATTCTTAAAATCTCTTGAAGTGATGATGAACAAGTTACTTCTCCTCACAACAGTGATACACTAACCAAAGGCAGCAAACATGTAATGAGAATATCTACACTTGCCAACCAGAGGCTGTTAGTATTGATTTGGTTATGAAAATAGCTAACTATCGGTTGAAGAATTATTCACAAAGGATTGTGTGACAATTACAAGGGACAATTATGAATTATATCTAAAGAGTTCAAGAAAAAAGCAGGAAGTTTTATTGTGAAAATAAGCCTTAACAGTGACATCTCCTTGCAACATTCTTGGGATTAGAAATTTCCATCCAATGTACCAATATTTCTTTTGGTGCAAATTTATTTGGTTTAAAACTTTTCAAGCCAGTTTGAACTTTATTTTGTTTTTTACAAACCTTTAACAACAAGAAAAGGAAAACAAAAAACTAAACTAGTGAAAAAAAAAACTGCAGAACAAGGAAAAAAGGAAGCAAAACATATTCCAAGTGGCAAAATTATGTTTGGACATGTTATTAATTCAGGAACACTCTGTCTGTTAGTTTGTGTAAAAAGGGATGATGATCGTTAAGTCAGCTTACACTTAAAATAACAATATATAAAGACACATTTAAAAATACTTATACAGCAATACTTTACCTGACACAGTTCCTAGCCTAAGGGACAATCTCTGATGAGAAAAAAAAGTCACAAAAAGAAAGATAACATTAGGAAAGGAATAAGAAACATGTATAATTTGTGGTATAAATTGGTCCTTAATTTTGATTGTCTTCTTGTCATTTTGTTTTTTAACCATTTTTGCTTGTGTCAGATTTCAATAAAGCAAAATGGAACTTCAAGTGGGTTCCAAAAATTCCAAACAGAAAGGGAAAAGTTGAAATTTGCTTTTCCCCAATATTGACCAATATTTCATGAATATATCATTAAAATTTTCTAATTGTATGCTGATGCCTTGCGAATTTGAACAAATTTGACTTTTAAGCTCTAATATAATAACTAAGAGAGAATAGAGGAACAGAAAAAGACAGACAAACTGATTTTTTCACCTGCATCAGAAGTCCCATAAGGGTAGAACACATAAGAATCCAAAGCAACTGTGTAAACAAGACAAACAAATCAGATCTGATAAATGTTTATCATAAACCCACTAAGAGTACTTTTATTAGACTTCTTTTTGTTCAACTCACATTAACCCATTTTAATTCCCAACTACACTCAGCAAAATACAAATAAAGTGCAACTAGAGTAAATATATCCTGTAATATTTTACAGTTTTCTATGTTGTACTGTAAAAAAAACCTGTTTAACCAGTTGGCTGTGGTGAGTTAAATAATAAATAACTTATAATGATTAGACATTTTGGTGTGTAATATTGGTGAGTACTTTTACTTCTTGTTTGTATCTTGACTCACCTTACAGGCTTAACCCTTTCACTCCCACAAGTAACCAAGACAGAATTTCTCCTTACAATATCAATACAATATCAAGCAGGCAGGTGATGAGAATAGAGAAGAATATCAATCATGGGATTATTAGTTGATCCAATACCAAATTCTCTGAACTAACATCATAAGAATTGTATGGCAGATAGTTAGGAAAATTACTAATCAGATCTTGGGAGTGAAAGGGTTAAGAAAATACCATACAACTCGTATACATACTCAGTGATACTACACACCAACACATCTTCAGTTGATAAGATATAAATTTTACAACAACATGTAAATATACAAGAAATTGAAATATTCCACACTCTTGAAATTCTGTCAATTTTTAAATCCTTGACAAGAATTATAAACTGATTAAACCTTTCACTCCCAAGATCTCATTTATTTAGCAATTCTCCTTATCAACTGCTATACATTTCTTGTGATGTTACTTTGGAGAATTTAGTATTGGATCAACTAATAATCCCCTGATTGATGCTTCCTTATTCTCATCCCTTGTCTCCTCCACATTGTACTGATATTTTAAAGAGAAATTCTGTCTTGGTCTCTTATAGAAGTTTAAGGCTAAGTGAAACTGACTCTCAGATTCTAGATGACCTCATAGGAACTCTCAATTCTTGAATTATTTCAACATTTTGTATCATTTACCTTATATTCTGCCACAGCTCCTGATTGAAGATCTGATTCTATGTTTCCAGGATCAAGGTAAGCTATACTCATTAGAAAGCCAGGACCAGTGAAGGCCCACAACCGACGCCAACTAAACTTGTACTTCTGTTGTAATGAGTCACATAAAACAACAAATTATTTATTTTATATTAGATGACAAATTATCCTGATCACAAGTCATTTTAGCACCTTCTGAGGATGCATAAGACCTCAATATTTCATGGCATGTAAAACAACAATTTGAACTGCAACTGAATTGCATTAGAGAAATCTGGGTAATGCTTGGCAGAAATTCACATTTATTTCATTCAGTATTTTTAACCCTTTAATCTCTAAGAGTGATTGGCTTCTAATTTCACCCAACAGTATCACTTTCGATTCAAACATTACAGTCATGAGAATAAGGGAAATGATCACCCACCAGAGAGGCCCTTGATTTTTGAACAAGTTCTCCATGACATTTCCTTAGGAAATATATAGAGAACAGTAGGGAGAATATGCATACTGATGTTAGGGTGTAAAGGGTTAACCCTTTTGCCTATAACAGTGATTGGCATCTTCTATCTTCGAATAGTTTCACTGCTGAATTGAGCATTAAAGGCCCTGAGAAAAAGGGAAATGACCCCCCACACTTTTGATGGTTCCCTAAATTCCCTATGTCAGTACTATAGGAAACATATAGTGAACTGTAAGGAGAATAAGCATACCAATCTTAGGGTTTAAAAGGTTAAAATACATGAAACCATAATGCATTGAATGTCTAGTTTCACCAATTTGGTTTAATGGCATATCACTATGGTTTGAAAATGGTAATCTTGATTATGTTTGACTCATTTGAGTAACATGTTAAGAGTGATACACAAAGTAAGGAGCACAGCATCCTTTGCACACTGTTATTGAAAAAGTACAATTCACAGCACAGATGCATGAAGGGAGAAGAAAATTAATGCAAAGTAGTAGACATTTAGCCATAGACAAAGTTCAATTTTCAGCACCCACTGCATGAAGGAGGGACAAAATTCTGGTCATGAATAAGAATTAAAACTGGGTAAGTCCCAATCAATTCAAAGCTTCAACATCCTGGGCAATACAAAAGCATCTGACCCTTGTCCATGCCCAGTGAGTTGGGAATTTAAATCTTGTCATGCTAGGGTGGGGAATTTGAATTGGAAGTATCAAGTCTTTTCAGCAGAATGTAAGTATTATAATAATTATCTTAAAATATGAGGGAGTTTTCAGGGAAACAGTTCACTTTTGTGAGCAAATAGCTCAGAAGAAAAGGTCTACAAGGTCTAGGTTTTAATCCTTTCACTCCCAAGATCTAATTAGTAATTCTCTTTACTATCTGCCATATAATT